GTAAAGGTGAGTGGCAAACGCCGTTAGCGCGCGCGTCCGGGTGCATCCTAAAAACGCCCTTCGCGCGCGCGTCCGGGTGCATCCTAAACGCCCCTTCGAGCGCATGCGAGATGAGCACGGTCGCTCAGCGAGGGAACACGACCCGACTTGCTTGGCCGCCTGTGGTTGGCTCACCAGGCGCCACGTGACCACGTGTACACGTATTCTCATGTTCTCCCGCGAGGTACTCTAGTGCATATCGCATCGCAGGGTATCATAGAGGCGTATCCCAAGCAACGCATACGCTACTACCCCTGGCGTACTAATGCACTGTCACCGATTTCTTTATCCAAAACATTGCTCCACTCGGCTCCACTCTGCGTCCCGCTTGCACCGATTTCACACCCCCGTACCTTGCCTACACGTGTAGTCCCACACCTTGCGCCACACCACATTGCCTCTAACAAACCTCCTCCCCCCTCCACTCTCACCGCCACCTTTACCACCACCGACATTCCCACCCGTTCCTCTCTTCATCGCCCAACCACACATGTGTGGTTTGTGGTTTCGCACATCCCTACCAACGCTTCTCCCTGTCCCTTACTACCTTACACATCATCGTCGCGCACGACTGTAATATCGCCAATCACACGCAAACTTCACAGTTAGATTTGCCTCTTACAAAACCCTCCTCAATAACACCCGCCCTGCACGACTTGTCTTCAGACTAATAGTGGAAATAACCACGGACGCCCAACAGCCTATTGCACAAACAACAACCGCACAAAACGTGACGCTCGCTGCAGCACAATCGCCAGATGCACACCCTCTCATATGACACGCATGAAAGAAATATCCAAGTGTCTTCATCGACAGTCCCTCCCTCCCCCCCCCCATCAATTCACAAACACCGAAAACAAATAATGCTTACCTATTTCCTCTTGCTGAACAACCGCCTCACAGATCTCAGATCTCAATCCCCGACACAAACTGCAAAAAAAAAAAACACACACACCAATACATACAACCATCCGGCCAGGTCAGTTCGTGCCCTGCGCTGCGTCGCCCATCTGCCTCTCTCGGATCAGTTGTACTGCTAGAATAATCACGGCCGGCACCCGCGGAGGGGATTTCCCCGTCTACCTAGGAGTCGCGCCGCAGCGTGTCTGCAACCAGGGACGAGGCACCCGCGCCTCCGCCGTGCAAGCACTTCAGACGGCACTTCCTATGTCTAGCAAATCTTCCTCACTTCCGTTTCTCGAGTCCGCGCTCCCACGTCTGACTTACCTTTCCTGCTCGGCGACATTGTGTAGAGCCGATCTTGCTTGCCCTGTTGCAACGACACCTTTGACGATCAGATCGGTCCGATTGCTGTGCGGGGTGACATCGACGCCGCCGAGGAACGGAAAAGCCCTTTTTATACATTTGTTCTGAAACACTTGTCCTATATCTATTGGCTGTATGTTTCACTTGTTTATTACAGTACTGCTCGTTTACCCTTCATTTAAATAGAGTGTCTATTCCACCAATTTCATTGGTGTAAACGTCCAGCACCCAATCGCGCTTGACAATAATTTATTGTGGAATTCTGTGTAAATATACTGTATACCAATCCTGTACACAACTCTTATACAATTTCTTGAGTGCGCACACACACACAAGTCGAACAATTCGTTTGGTGCCAGTCGAACAGCCATTGCTACGGTAGATTCCCTTGGTACGATATACTGTACCTTCGAAGGTACCCTTGGTACCCTTGGTACCATCGAAGCACACACCCGCGGCTTAGGAGATGCAGCCTTCACACCTTTGGAGACCTCCCTGATCAACCTCGCATACTTGACTGCCACACAACTTAGAGCACCCCTACTGGTTTAGTTATATATTTCGAGGTTAAATATGAGAAATTTAGCGTTTGGAGATAGCGATTCTAGGCGCAACACTACCGGTTAGAGGGCAAATTCAAACGTGTTGTGCAGTGATTGGAGGAGAGGAGGAGGAAAGGGAGAAGGGAAGGCGTCAGGAAGAATGCAGGAGGGTGGCAGTGGCGGGTAAATTCACCTTGGGATGGGGGGTGTTGGGGGTGTTCCCTGTGCACAGAAAACAGTGTGTTCCCCGTGCACAGAGGACATTGCTCGCGCCAAGTCAATAGAATTGGCGTTGGTTTTTTGGTAATTTTTCCAAGTGGCGCAATTCTACTCGCATCTCTATTTGCGCAAATGAGTACTGTAAATCTGTCTCCATCCGGTCGGCTGCTTGGTGTGAAAGTTTCTATCATAATGTCTCTCATATGGCGATATACCTCACCACGTGAATGGGTCACGCGGTGAGGAAAGAACTTGCCGTGTTTAGGGTTACAGTAAATTAGTATATAACGGACAATCCTATGCGACTAGCGCGTGGGTCTGCCCGGAGGCAGATTTGAACAGACGTGTCTACGCAGAATCCTTCACGAACAGCGCTCCGATTGCCCGGAGGTTCGGTTGGGTTTGAAGAGCCGGTCGTAGGTTCTTCTAGACATTAATAAACTGTATAAACTATTTCCTTCCAACTTTTTCTGGGACAATTCCCACATTGATCAATCGCGTTTTTTCCATTACGTTTTTTCTCTCGACAATTCTATTGGCCAAGCGAAGATCCGCCACCATTTGTTTCGAGCACCGCACGCATCTCCAGACCTCCAGCCCATGTGTTCCTCGCTGCTCGCGCGCCGCTCACCTCACCGCTCCCTGGTTGCTCTCTACGCCGCTCGCACTCTCCTCGCCTCGCCGCTCGCTATTTGCTCTCTACGACGCTCGCTCTCTGCTCGTTTCTCAGCCCGCTTATCGATTGTTCGCCACCGATTGCTCGCCAGCTCTCTGCCCACCGCTTGCTGGCTTTTCGCGTTGCTGCTCGCACTCTTACTGTCCTGTTACTCCGCCGACACCGCTCCGTCGCCGCTACTCCGAAATAGCCGCGCCGTCGTCGCCCACCGGTGGCGCTCTCCTCGCACCGCCGTTGTGCGGCTCGCGCTCGCACTTCTCTTCTGCTGCGCCGCCCACGCTCTCACTGCGCCGACGCGCCGCCGCCGCCGCTACTCTCAAGCCACCGAGCCGCCGCGCACGCCTCTCGCTGCTGCCGGCCATACGCTGTTGCTGTGCCGCTATTCTGCCGCCGCCACAGCCACTCCCAACCCGCCGCGCAGCTGAGCAATGCTCTTCCTGCTGTCGGTTCTAAGTCGCCGCTGCGAAAAACTGTACGCCGCCACTGCGACGCCGCGCGTCTGCCGCTGCTACTCAGCAAGCCGCCGTGCCTCCGCGCACTCCTCTCGCTGCTGCCGGCCCTACGCTGCCACTTCGCCGCCTCGCACAGACTGTGCTGCTATTTGCAAGCCGCCGCCCCGTCGCACACGGCTCTCGTTAGTGCGCCGCCGCCGCCTCGCCGCCACTCGCTCGCCGCCACCCGCCGCCGCTGCTGCTTCCCAGCCCCTGCGCCGCTGCGAACGGGTCTTGCTTCTGCCTGG